TGTTTGTTCCTTTTTCCACCTGAGATGATAAGATAACCACTATAATTATCTGCATGGTGGAGGACGACTACTTAAGGGAAGGAAGAATTTCTTCAGAGACTAGAAAACACACACATCTCTTTGGCAGGGTATGGGCATCAGAAGGAAGCAACAGGAAAGGTTTTCATGTGTTGAGAGAAATTTAGAGATGTAGCTTTAAAAAAAAAAAAACAAAAAACAACTGGGACTTTTTCCCTCTTCCAACTATGGTTGAAACGAGTCCAATCCCATTCCCTGGTCTCTGTGAGGAAGAAAGCACAGCACCAGGTTATCTGAGATGAGTTTTCAAGATGGTGGCGCCAGGGATTTGTCCTTCAACAACCCTACAGTTAACTCTGCCTGATTTTGCATCCCCACGAGGTTATTCCTCCAGTTCTGTATTATGGATTTAACCAAGCTTTACACCCAACATCGTACCTCTTTCTTTCTTCTTCCCTCACCTTGTTCACATAAAGTGCTCATTTTCAAGAGTCATGGTTTTAGTTTGCTCTTACCATGGATTTCTCCATGCAAAGTAATGAAGAAATGAAATTTATTCCTTCTAAACTGGGTCCCCTCATTTCCCTTCTTCCCCCAAAGGCATGTTATATATTCCAAACATCTATGTATCAGCGCCTGTCACCAAGCGCTGGTGGCTCATTCCTGTCTGTGATCCTTGCTACTCAGGAGGCTGAGATGTGAGGATCACTGTTCAAAGCCAGCCAAGGGCAGGAATGCTGTGAGACTCTTAACTGCCAGGAGCCACCAGAAAACCGGAAGTGGTGCTGTGGCTCGAGTGGTAGAGAGCTAGCCTTGAGTGAAAGAGCTCAGGGATAGCACCTAGGCCCTGAGTTCAAGCGCCATGACCAGATAATAATGACAACAATAATAATAATAGCATAATAATAATAATACAATCTGTCTTCCCATTTGGGAAGTAATTACATGTCCAGATTTTTAAAATTTAACCAGTGATAAACACACTCATGACTCAATAATTAATAATTCATAGTATCCTAGGCATGCTAGCCCTGTCAGATAGAAGTTCTTAGACATTTAGTCCCTTTGTGAAAGGAATGTGTGGCTAATTCTAGACTATTTAATTGGCTAATGGAAAGATCATCTGTGGTGGGGAATCTTCACATCTCAGCCTGCAACCCATTTTAAGATCTAGTAAGAAATAAGCACCCATACAATGGCTATAAAAATACCAAGATTAAGAAGGCATGAATCATTTGATTTTCCAAAAAAGCCATCATGTGGATGATGAGTGCCAGAAGCCTCATAAATGAACAGCTGCTCGAGTTGAGCTTGGATTGAGTGTATTTAAACACATTAATCTTGGAAATATGAACCAAAAGTCAATGAAGCTGAATGTTTGTTGAATCTTCACAGTGCTCTCCTCCTCTTCTTTCTCCTGCATCTGTCATCTTGCTGTAGGTTGCCAGAATTCCGAGATCTGAGTGATCACTAAAACATAAATAGGCCATTTTGGCTAAAGAGAAAAATCCCAATAGGAAATACAAGGGTTAAAAAAAATAAAAAGGTGCTGTCGGCTAGATATAAAAAGAAACAAGTAGAGAGCAGGCTTCTAGGCGAGAGAAACTGAAGAAAGTCAGCTTCACATTTTAGCTGATCTATGCTTTTCATAGGAAAAATACTTAGCTGAACACAGGAATAAAAGGAAGAGTGGCAAACCTTATTGGAGAAATCCTACCTTTGATTTTTGAGTAAGCATAATTGCTACTGATGAGATATTCATTTGGGGGGGATAAAGGGGATCCAAATTGTCCCATATAAAAAAATAAGATGTTAAGCCAAAGAGTCCCCCAATTTCCCTTTGGTGGGTGGTTGATCTGATGCTCAAAGAAGCCAGAAGATTACACAGGGGAGTGGTAGCTCACACCTGTAATTGTAACTACTCAGTAGACAGATCCTAGGATCACAGTTCAAAGTCAACCCAGGCAGGAAAAATCTATAAGGCTCTTATCTCCAATTAACCAGCAAAAAAAAAGCCAGTAGTGGAGCTAGTGGCTCAAGGGGTAGGGACCCTTGGGCAAAAAGGCCAAGAGAGACCACAAGGCTCTAAGTACAAGCCCCAGGACCAGCTGGAAATTACTTTGGGTGCTTTGTTCGGATCCCTGATTAAGAGATCCTGGCGCCCATAGTGATGGATTTTTTAATGCCGTCTCATAAACTGAAGTAGGCCAGATTGTATTTCCTTTCCATTCTAATAAAGAAGTTACTCAAAATTAAATCTCAGTACTTCACTCTCTTCCTCTGGCATTTCAGAGGTCCTCGGGGAACTGGTTTAATTAAGTAATTCATGGCAAGCACACCTGCTCAGGTGTGCCTTGACTTATTTGGAAAACAATGATTAAAAACCAAAATCCCACTGTCCCTGGGAGGAGGGGGGGGCGGCCATCGGTGTGTTTTCGAAGGTGCAGATAATATTTGTGGAATGCTGCTGTCTGTGTGTGTGTGTGTGTGTGTGTGTGTGTGTGTGAGAGAGAGAGAGAGAGAGAGAGAGACCTATAGATTCAAGTGCCATAACACTGATAGATGTTACTGAGAAAGCAAATAGCTGTCTCTCATGTTACCAGTTAAGTCACTGAAGGTGACCGAGTAGACCAATGTCAACGTGAGGAGATTAATCCTACCGCCACGCCGCCGAAGGCCTGGTGGGGTGGGACAGAGGCTTTGGCAAGCTTTCATCCTTCCTCCTTCCAGACAAGGGTAAAAGAACACAGGCAGCACAGAGCCAGTTTCAGAGCAATGACCCCATAGAAATGCTCAGACCCCCAACCCACCTTCCAGCCCTTTGAAAGACTCTGCAGCCCTTGATTTACTCTCCCAGAAAGCAAGGCCCTGTCTTTCCCCTGACACAATCAGCTAATGGTCTTTTTGTGTCCTCAAGCTTTTGGGCCCTTCCCCTAATACAAGAAGTAGGGAAGGAAGATACAATTGGAGATCTCAGGCTAACGTAGCAAGACATTCACAGAAACCATCCTCACAGGAGAGAAAGAAAAGCAGCCCTGAAATGCTTACAAAAACCATGCAGCATTTCAAAAGCTTTTTAAGCCTCACTAGGTCAACATAAAGCAAATATCAGAGAGAGAGAGAGAGAGAGAGAGAGAGAGAGGGAGAGGGAGAGGGAGAGGGAGAGGGAGAGGGAGAGGGAGAGGGAGAGGGAGGGAGGGAGAGGGGGAGAAAGAAAAAAAGAAAGAAAGAAAGAAAGAAATGAATTTGGGCCAGTATCAAATCACCTTCCCTTATATGGCTAAACTTTTCTCTTGGAAGTTGCAAATTGGTGTTAGATGTGCAATCTAACACCAGATCTTGAGTAGCAGTCACAGCGATGTTTGCTCCACCGTCTTTGATTAATGTAGTGATGTATAACATTCCTCAACTGAGTAATCCATCATCTCAAAATTCGCCCATCCATTGTGCCACGATTCCTTGGCTTAGCATGCATTCACGAGTATTTATGGACTGTAGCATCTGCTGAGCCCCTGACCAGCACAAAATTAAATCGTATCAGTGGAGAGCGCCCGTTCCACACAGGAAGCCACCGTGTGAACATGTAATTCTGGCCACAGGTGTGGATAGCAGCGTCCATACCTTACTACTGTCTTGCAGAAATCCAAAGTTAATATTGGCAATCAGTGAGTAGAGCCAGGGCCGAGAGGTAGCAAGAACTGAACTCTCATCACTCTGTAGAACAGGTTCACAGGCCCAGCCTTTTTAATCAAATGAGTCTTCTTCCCTTGATGAAAGCATCAGGCATTATAAAAATAAATAAATAAATAAAATCTGCTCTTAATTATCCAATGCAAATTGAAAAATAATATTTTCCACTGATAAGATCAGCAATATGAGATCATGATAATCCGAGCTGGCAAGCCACGCGATAAAATGGAGTGTGCTTGGTTTCAACTTTTCTTGAGAAACATGGGAAAAAGTGAATAATGGCCTGCTATTTATTGTACTGTTGTGCATGCATGTGTGTGTATGGGCAGATGTGCATGCATGCATGCACATGCATGCCAGTACTGGGGCTTGAACTCAGGGCCTATGGCTTTTGCTTGGCTTTTTCATTCAAAGTTGGTGCTCTACTATTTGAGCCACAGCTCCATTTCTGGCTTTTTGGTAGTTCATTGGAGATGATAACCTTGCGGACTTTCCTGTTCAGGCTGGCTTTGAACTGCAGTCCTCAGATCTCAGCCTCCTGAGTAGCTAGGATCACAGGCATCCCATGCACCATCCATGCCCAGTTTTTGCTGCATTTTAGCCACACACCTGAAGTACACTGCTAAAGTTTCCTTATTTCCCCAACCCTGTCCGGCAGGAACATGTGAACCCTCTATCGGGCCAGGCAGACAGAAGGGGACCTGTCGCTTTATTCTCTCCATTGAGAACGAAGGTAGCTATGCACACATCTCAAGTGAATCTGGGGACCCCTGTAGGTAAGGATTCAACCTGGCCAAAGGTAGTAGTGGAATTGGAGCCTCCCTAATGTGGGGTAAAAGAGATCAACCTGTGTGGGCAGCTGGGTAAAGAAAGGCCCCCTCTCCGCTGATGTCTGTCTACTCTTCACCTGCCTGTCAATTTCTAATCCCACCCGGGAAAAATACATGCTCTTCATTTCCCCATGTTCCAGCCAAAGTCCTTCGTGCTCACTGAAGTGCTAACTAACTCTAGCTGAAGTTCCTCTTCACATTCCTGGGACCCGATCTGCCTGGTGGGTCACATAAAGCAACCTCTCCGGCAGGCCCTGAGCTGGTCAGGCCTGTCCTTCCAGGAGCCAAGAAGGGAGAGGAAAAAAAAAAAAAGGCGGAGGGTGGAGGGTGGAGGGTGGAGGGTGGAGGTGGCAGGGCTTGGAACCCAGCCTGGATGGAATGGGGAGGGCGGGACTGAGCAAGTTTCTGCAGCCGGCCGAGGGGAAATCAGGGCGGAGGGACTGTGTTCAGGTGTGTGCAGTTAAAAGCTGAGCTAGAGGTGCCTGGAGCTGTCTGCTCGGCCACAGATAAGAAAGGAAGCTGCCCCTGGGCTTTCTGAGGGGGAAACTGAGGTAGAAGCATCTGGATCGTCCCCCTTGAGCGAGGGACCCACCAGAAGGAGGACACCCTGGCTGATCGTGTGGACCTTGTGCCCGGGAGAAAGGAGGTAAGCACCCTGCTAGAAGCCAAGGCTGTAGGGTGATCTTTCTTCCTCTGCTACTTGCCACCATTTGCTAGCCTGGGATAGGCATACTGATTCAAAGAGAGACTTTAAACCTGCCCTCCACCTCAGGACTCTAGGTCAGGGGGCGAGAGCCAGCCATCAGTAACTTCAGCCTAGAAAAACCCCCTTCTGAGCCACCGATGGAGGAAGCTAGCTTGTGGCCCAGGCCGCCGGGCCCAGGGCCTGCAGGTGACTAGCTTAGGAGAGCACCTGTTGCTCTATTATAGTGATGTGCACCGCACCCCATGCTGCCAGACAGTCCTGCAGGTAGTCTCTGCCTCTGTTACCTGACTTCTCCATCTGGGGAGCTGATTGTGTATGGACAAGGGGTCTCTACACAAGGTTGGTGAAGATAACTGCATGGGGCTTTGAAAACCAGGAAGGGGTGGAGAATACAGCTAAGCAACTGTTTTTAGGATGATGCCTAATTAAAAACAACAATGGTAAAAGTCGGTGATAGCATTCACAAAGCATGGTGGGAGGTCCTTTTATCTCAGCCACTGAGGAGACAGATGCTCATCATTACCTCTCACTGCTGGTGGGAGGGTAAGGGCATGGGAGGGGAACTGATCTCCCAGCCCGTGCATTGAGGAGGCTGTGGTTCAAGGGGTCTTTGGGGTGGGGAAGGGGGGGGGTTCCCCAGATTCAGCTGGGGAAGAACAAGCTGGGATTGGAAGGCACCTCTCTCCAGGCAGAATAGATGACCCCAAGCCTCACTCCTGCTGTGAGAGACACTACTCACCTAGAGCTGGGGCCCCACCTCCCCCCGTCCCTCCAGTCCACATGAGACCTTCCAAATGCCAGGAAGAACTCAGAGTCCCTGGAGGCTCAGGAAGGGAACGTGCAAAGGCCTGGAGGTGGTGAACTTACCTGGCAGAGGAAGGGAGATTGTGGCGGGGGTGCTGGCCCAGCCCCTTGGCCATGGAGAACTCGATCTCACCTTCAAAGCCGGGGGAACAGCTCCCTGGGGGAGCAGCCACGGCAGCGCTGGCTGCCTTGCTCCCAGGACTTGTCCTGGAATGGGCTTTCTCTCTCCCACTGGCTTTCAGCTCAGCCATGGCCTCTGGCGGAAGCTTTCCTGGACCAGGGCATCCAACACCCCACTCTCTGATCGCATCTAGGGTTTTCCCCGAGGCTTGTCACCAGTTGATGAGCCTGCCTTGCTTGCATCTCCCAAGTCAGGACAGAAGTCCATAAAGATGGCCCCTAAGTCATCTCTGGACACCACCAGAACCCAAGGCTGAGCAGAGTCCCTGGTCACCAGGGCTCAGGGAACCCATGAGGAATGGAGGGGAAATGGGGGGCTGTGGAGCCTCACCCACTCACGAGGAAGCAAATGCGACCCTGTCAGAACTGAAAGCAAAGGGCGGCTGGCCTCCGGGCTGGGTTGGTTATCTGAGACCCCACTGCGCACCGGAGGACGGCTTCTGCGGGCCACTCGATTGTCCCACAAGCCACCAGTGGCCCCCTAGACATGCGATGCAACCGTGATCTGGAAAGACCTCCCCGTGCCCTGGGACCCCACCAACTGCTTTATCAGAATGCCCAGGATGCTTTGCTCTTTTGGAGCGTGGGTTTGCTGTTGAGAATGGGACAAAGCAGGGAGTGGGGGTCGGGGCTCCTGCAGCCTCTCCTGGCGCTCCAGTGTGGGGTGGCAGGGGAGTCATCACCCCAGAAGCCGGGGGAGGGGGGCGAGGTACACGTGTGACACAGCCCCTCTGCAGAGAACTTTGACTGCAGAGCATGCAGCCTCTTGCATGCTCACAAGCACCCTGCCTGCAGGCAATGGGAAAACCAAGATGCACATGAACGTGTGTGTGTGGGGGGGGGGGGGGGGAGGATTTTTCCCTTGTAGAAAATCCACGATTCCCCCACACACACACACCCCAAATTAAATTATTAAGGGTAAGAGGAGAGACTTCTTTGCAAGATTCCTCTTCCCAGACAACTACCTCCAAATTGGCCCTGGAGCAAGCAGCCTAGTGCTCAGTCTCCTCCCGGCACACGCATGGTGTTTGGCATCATTCCGCCTGCCACCGGCTTTTACATGTCCAGGTCTGCACGTTAAGCGTTCGGTTGTTCACGGCAAGGAGCGTTCGGCCTCGCTTTGGCCCAACTCGACTGAAGACGTCAGATCCATAGGTTGGATCTGTGGTTCTCCCGATCGTATTTTTCTAGTCCCTTGTGGTACATAATCTTCATGCGCAGATTCGTAGGAAATGGCTCTTCCAAAAGTAAATTGTTGAAATCGGAAGCCAAGGGAGAGACGTGATGATTTTTCCGGGGAAGTGAGCGGTGTTGTACCACGGAAAGAGAATTCCACTAAGTGTCTGGAGAACTGGGTGTGAATCTCGGTCCCACTTCTGCGTTCGATGTTGTTTGTGTGGGCAGCACTGGTGTTTGAAGTCGGGTCCTTGTGCTCTCTTGCTTAAACCATACCTCCAGCCTTTTCCCTGCACTGATGATTCTTGCGATAAGGACTCTCTTCCTGGGTGTGTGCCCCGACTGTGGCCCCCGGATTTAGGTTTTCTGTCGTCGTAAGGATGATGCATGCATACCACCGTATCCATCTTCTTCCATTGAGATGGAGTCTTGCTGACTTTTTGTTTTTTGTTGGGGTTTTTTTGCCTGGGCCTTGCTGGAACTCCCAATCTCAGCTTCCTGTTTGGGTGCCAGGAGCAAGGCCTTCTCTCCTACCTAGAGGTCCAGAAGCGATCTGGTGAACTCTCTTACCCAGGCTAGTCTTGAACCTCCATCCTTCCCTTCCCAGCCTCTTGAGTAGCCAGGCTCACAGGCGTGAGCCACCTCCCCTGCACGGACCCTATTCCTTGATGATCCCTTTCCAACAGCTTGTGCCATGCTGGGCATCGCGGGGCAGCTGCCGCTGTGAGGATTCACTGAGATGTTAGCTAAGGTCTCGGAGATTCCTCATGTGTTGTGTGCCAGTTGTCTGTGGTTTTGGAAGGAGGCCATGCGGGATTTAGAAGGTGCCAGGTTGCTAGGGCAGAGTGGAACCCAGATTTTACCCACCAGGAAGCAATCGATACCTTCTACCCTACGACCTGGAAATTCTTCTTTAGACATGATTTTGAGGCAACCAGATCTGACCTCTTCGTGGACCTCACCCCATAGGAAGATGTCCCTTGGAAAGTGTAGGGATGGATTTCAAGAAGAAAAAAGAAAATATTGCCAAGGGTTTTCCCTTCCTCCACGTTCCCTTGTGGCCTTTAGAAGGAAATGGATGGCTGGTTTCCTAAAGAAAACCAAACAGAGAGCCTTCTGGCCTGTTATCCCAACTACTTAGGATGCAGAGATTAATCGAGAGAATTACAGTTAGGGGCGAGCTGAGGGCAAACAAATAGCAAGACTCTCATCTCAACAACAGTAAGCCAGGCGTGTGGTACGTGTCTATAATCCCAGCTGCTGGCAATTACAGGCAGGAAGATCATGGTCTGTGCAAACATCTCAAGGCTCTACATGAAAAGTAGCTAAAAAGAATTACAGGATAAAAGGGATGGGGGTGTGACTCAAGCGGTAGAGCACCTGCCTAGCAAGTGGGTACCACCCAAAAAGAAAGTACCACCGAAAAAGGAAAAATAAAGAAAGGGGGGGCGGGGAGGAAGCGATCCATCTCGCCTGGAGCATAGTCTATGGAACCAAATGGTTTCAGATTCCTGTGGAAGAATTGCCGTGTTCTGTATCCTGTATTGGAGAACCATAGCGTACTGCTAGTGACCATTTATTCATTACTACAATGGGGCGGTGTAGGCTCTGTGTCCTTGGATCGATGTCTCCACCTCTCTGTGGTTCTGTGAGGATTGGGATAGACTGGGCCTTTCGGTCATGTGGGTTACACGCGCAGGAAGCTCCGTTATCTCCTCCCACCACATCAGGCCGGACGAGCGGCTCACTCAACGGCCAGATCCTCTGAGCTTGCCCTTGGCTTACCCCGTGACATCATACTGCAGCTACACTCTCCAGAACTCCCCAGCTCCTGTGGGAGTCCCGGACACCAGCCAGCTTTCCCTCTCTACCCAGCCCCAGTCCATGCGGGCTGGTGTTTTGAAAATGCCTCCAGGGTTTCACCAAACATGCCAGAACTTGTTCCTCTCTTCTGCAATCTTGCCCTGGGTAGGCAACCCTGATGAGCTTGGGGGAGAAAGTCTGCTCCCTTAAGTAATCAGATGCCCCCCCTACCCCCCCGGGCATAGCTTCTTCCAGCTCAGTGAAGCCTCTGCCCCGGAGGCTGACGTGTGTGTATGGTGTAAAACCTCACCAGTGTGCACCAGAGTTGGGCTGAGTGACAGAGGAAACCGCCCTGAGCTCTGCCCTGGGCTGGTGAGAAATGGTTGCCCTGTGCTGTTAGTTCACACACACACACACACACACACACACACACACACACACACACACACACACACACACACACACACACACACACACACAGCGTTGACATTGACACCAGCCCTGGCTGACCCCTTGATTATGCCACCTTCCCAACCCAGGAGAAGATCAACCAGGGTCAGGACGGGCAATCTGTGCCCAGCCTGCCGAGAGCGATCACGATACTAATAATTAATAACAGCTGGATTGCATTGCGCAGTCCCTGCACCCAGAGGCCACACTCTCAAGGGGATTCCAACCTAATCATGTAGAGAAGAGAAAAGTAAGGCCCAGAAAGCCACAAGGCCAGAAGGGGCCATTCCAGGAGATAAACCCAGGCCTGAGTGACTAAACACATGCTCTTCACCTCTGAACCACTCTGAGCTGAGATGGTCTGATAACACAGTACAGATTAGATTGGGGGAAAGAAACCCGTTCCACCAGCCGGGCAGCCTTCCCAGACGGTGGACAAACCTGCTTGGCCTGTTTCCAGGCACCCTTCCAGCAGGCATCTAGCTGGTGGAGTGTGTTTTTCTTCCCCCCCACACACATTTTTTATT